TAAGTAATCAAGTGCCCACACCTCTGAATTCTTTTCTGCTTCCTGCCCATTCAATACCATAGGGGAATTTCTGTTTATAGAAATAGTAGAAGAAGAAGCTCCTAAAACTCAGATTTATATTTAAATTCTGTTCTGGTGACATTCCATTCTGCTATGCTATAAACCAAGAAGATAAACCAGACAATTCATTTTGCTTTATTTTTCTCTTTTCATGCTTCCATCTGTAGAACTAAAATAACACCCAAGGCAACAACAGTAAAGCCTATTTTCTAGCATTCATCCAGTTAAACTATTATAATAAATAATATCTATCTATCTATTTATTTATTTATCAGACTAACAGACTAGAAGGGATAGAAAAAGAATCAAATATTTGTCAATGAACCAGATAGCTAGTTTTCTCATTTAAAAAAAAAATAGTTCAATGCTATTTACTTCACTCATGTTTTTGGTTAAAAGAAAAAATACATACAAATCCCTGACTTTATACTAATTACCATGTAAAGAAAAGAAATAGTTATTACATAAACATATCTATTTGTTATGCTTATGCTGTAGACTAGAAGATGGTAAAAATGCTCAGCAAAATGTATATGATCAATAGTGTCTAATGAAGAAGATAAACATTAAAAAACTCATCTTCATGGTAAGTTTCACATAACTAACAAGGATCAATAAGAGAGAAGAAAACTTTCTCAGGAAGCAATAGGTCAGAGGGTCTTTAAAATGTGATGGATTGAGCCAAGAGCAGTCTAAGAACACAGGAATATTGTGCAAAGGCCCTGGGCTATTTTCCAGTTTGCAAAACACTGTAAAGTAAGTATTAATGATAGAGGAATATTTAAAATAACACAAGTATAAATTATATCATAACTGATACAACACATTTTAAGAATATACAACTCCATCAAAACTATTCAATATGATATATAGCAGAAATTTACACTTAATTCATTAATGTACTACTTCATAGAACATCTTGTATGAACCATCATTTTCATTTTAAACAGCTGCATAGCCTAGTACATGTTAAATCACAGCACAAACTGAATTAAACCACTTACTTATGTAGAGAACTTATCATACACAATGTTAAATTATAAATATTCATACATTTTAAAAAGAGGTGTGATTTAACTAACATTGCTTATGGTACTCTTCTGCAAATGATTTCATATGGCTATTGGATGTAGAGAGAATGCATTTAAATAATAATGTAATAAACCATATTCACTCAAAAAGTAGTCATTGAGGATTTACCACAGTGCAATTGCTTTTCTTATTTCTAAAAACATGCTGATATTACAAAGAGTACTGTCCTAGAGAAGCAGAATAAATGGTAAAGAAGAGAGATGACCATAAATCAGACAACTGGACATGTAAATACTTAGATACATCAATACGAAGAAGGGACATCTACTACATTGTCAATTTAAGGCACATGTCACATGTAGTTCCCATTCTAACCAACAGGCTTGAGAAACAGGAGAGGCAACTTTTCATCTGAGCAGCCAGCAGGCCCAAGGCAAAGGAGAGCCTGAAGCTTGAAGTGAAGGCTGGAATCCAGATACAGCTCAAGCAGTCGGGCAGAAGGGTATCTCCCATACTGAATGCAGGCTTCATCACTATGTTTTAGTTTTAGGTCTTTAACTATTTAGAGGAGGGAAGCCTAAATTAGATAAGGCAATCTGCTTTACTCCATCTGTCACTTTGAATGTTAATCTCTTCCAAAACACCCTTACAGACCTGTGCAGAATATTTGCCCAAGTGTTAGAAAACCCTATGGCTCAGTCAAGCTGATGCAAATTTACCCTCACATGCCCACCCTCTTGTTCACTTGGGACCCATAAGCATTTTCTCAAACCATACCTAATCTCCAAACGAAGAAAATGAAAAACACATGAACCTTTCCTCAAAGATGATAGAAATCCTTAAGTGATATTTATTTTTCTACTGCTCTCATAACTAACATGCCATGGCATAAAATAAACAGTACTTAAAATCTGTGACCTAAAGCCACTGTATTTTATGATAAATGATAAATGCATAGGGGTATAAAGCAAACAAATATATTTATGCATGAATATTTAAATCAAGTAGGAAATATTCATGACAATTCCAGTCTTGTTTTTTAAAAATAATAAAGTTTGTCCACTTTATGTTACTTTAACAAAATACTTGAGGCCATGTATCTTATGAAGAACACTGTATGTATTTGTCTGGTTGTTTAAATGTTCAGGCTAAAATTCCAAGAGTGGGCAATCTCGTATGCTTGGACTCTGTTGGAGGGTACTGGCTGAATAATAACTTGACAGGGGACCAGAACGGGAAATGGCCATGTGCAGTAGATTCCAGGCATATGGGTTTGCCTTGCGTTACAACCACTCTTGTTAGACCAAACTCATTCAACAGATTCTGCGTTGATCATTTATGGAGATGACAGCTCAGTGACCTGTTAAACTCCCATGAGGCTCCATTTCCTAAAGTGCCGTCTTCCTTCAACACTGCCACACTGGCAGAGCTTCCAACACACGAACCTTGGGGAATAGACTCAAACTATGTCAAAGCCAAAACAGAAAACACAGCATGCTAGTGTTTCTAACTACCTTCTTCCACAAATCATCCTGTGCTGCCATTTGTCTTCAGCAAGTATTTCAGCGAGACATACTTTTTAAACAGTTTTTGAAATAGCTCAAATGATCACTAGCAACCCTGCCAGTATTGTTTTGTAATAACTCCCTGACATAATCACAAGGCTTATAATTCTAAAAGATGCCTTAAATGATGTGTTGTGTTCCATACATGGTCTTCATTACCTACATGTTGAATAAAATTCAATTTCATTTTGATATTCAAGAACAACTACCCCAGCCAGTAAGCTTAACATTCTTGATTACTGATTCAGTTATAAATGAAGTGTTTTGGTGGCTGTCTTAACATTTAGTCTAGTAGAGCAACCTGCATGTCTCTAGTAGAAGCATTCTTTTATTTAGAACCAAGATGTCTAGGCCAAAAAAAAAGTATAAGATCCTAGGAACAAACTTTTGTTGGTAGTTTACTAATGCTGAGTAGTAACTTTTCCATTCCTATCCCTGGAGTCCTATGAATCCTAAATATAGGAGAGATAGCACCACACAATGAAGACTAATTCAGTGAATGCTCAGCCTTATAGAGAATGTACCCTAATGCTTCTAGATATGTCACTTATATGTCATTGTAACTGCAACTTAAAAATGTCTGTTGGTCTATCAAACTTGCTCCCTCTGGAGAGCAGAAATCATGATATGATGATTAAATTCCATGAGAACTGTCTCACTGCTCTACTTTTTTTCTTATAAAGTGAGATTTCTGGTCAGTTGTAATGTCTTGTATATGATGTTATAAAAAGCATTCTGTAAGTCTGTGGATGGTAGTCTTGATTTAAAAAAAAAAGGACTATATACAGAAAAGACAAGTATGTATCCAGAATAAGTGCCTAATATATATAAGGACAAATTATTTTATTTCTATCATGAAACTGATCCAGAGTCATCAATCTGCCACCATGCAGGCAGCTGGCTGAACTCTCTGGAGAATGATGCTTTAGTAGAGATTCTGTGTTTCTCTACACGGCTAGCAGGTAAGTCACTCACTCAGGAGTAGCTGAAGCTATATTGGCCATGGTAGGTTGAGCCTTCTATAACCTCCATCCCTGGTAACATGATCACATTGTCCATGAACACACTGGGCAGTGGTAAGGTAGCTGCAGAAAGCAGCTGACTGGGATCTACAGAATCGGTTACCCCCTCCAGATCACTATTAAGCTAAGAACACCATTTGGTGAGCATTCGTGTGAGACACAAATATATTTGTAGCTTTGTTCATCCAAGCAGATCTACCCATAAGTCTCTTCTCCCATGTTCCTTGTCACAAATTTTCAAATAATTTTACTTCAAAGTTCCTGATTATCCAGCCAAATGATTTGCTACAGTCCATGAACTATCAGATAATCACATATTTTATCCTTTCTCTTTACAAGCAAAGTGAATGACCAGGATCACTACTTAAAGCTCTGCTCATTGGAAGAATTCTCTTATGTCACTGACCTTCACGGATATCCCTAAAGATAACAGCATTTTCCCAAGGCCATCCCTGAGAAAATTCCTCCCAGAGTCCTGGGGAAAAATGCTACGTCCAGCGTGGGGTTCTCTGAGGGAAAAAAATCTACATACACCATGTTTTTGGGTCTGTTTACTTTATTCCTCTATGACAAAATTCTATCTATACAGCTTCAGTTCCATCCTCACATTCATTCAGCTCCTCTCTGTGCCCACTTTTCCTGTCCTCATAGTTTTAAAAAGATCCTATGCTTCTGAGCTCATCTTCATCCTCTGTCCCTTCTTCGTCCTCCATCTGGCTTTCCTGAGAAAACTCTCCTGAGATCTGCTTTACCCTCTACAGAATCTCTGTCCTCCTCTCCTCTCTCTGCCCATCCAGTTCAGTGTCTGTCTCTGGAATTCTGCTCCAGTCCTTACTGCACCTGGTTATGCAAAAAGCCCTATTGTCCTCAGTCAATCTCTCTGTCACACCTAGGCCTGAAGGAAGGGAATGGTCTGAGCTTCATTTGCACAAGAAACAAAGCTATGAATCTACTGCCTGATTGTCTCCTAGGCTCAGTGGTGGAGTTAGTTACCTGGAGTTCAGCAGATCTGAGAAGGAGAACTGTTTGCCAAGTGGTCTAGTAATATATAGGCTCACAAGAAATTCTCAGCAAGGTGGTAGCTGAATATTAAGGCTGTATACCACCAAATATTCCATGATAAATGGCTTCCCATTTGATGGACCCTTGGTCAGTCAAAGTATAGTTTTAATACACAGATGAATCTCTATAATATATTCTTGCAGCCCACAAGAATTCGGAAAGGCTGAAGAGCTTCTGCTGTTCACTTTAAGGTGGTGCCTTTATGTCTTGCAAAACACTATAAACCAGTCTTCTCCTCCTCTGTCAACTTCTTTTGCAGGCATGGTGAAGACTGGGAGAGAGAAAGCAATGCAGCCACAGGGGAGACCATGGACCACTTTCTCATGTAGGTCACTCATCTGAACATTTATGACCTGCTTCAACTGATCACATGTACACTGCTTGCACTTGATGATATTCCTGCCACTCATGTCAATTTTATGGTTTGGTGGGTTTCTTCACTACTATAAATGAAGTCATTAGCATCTTTAAATATAATTAGACTAGAGATCTCATTAGAATCCCAGAACCAATTCAGGAAACATATCCTTAAATTCCTTGAGAGTTACTCTCAGTACCCAGATCTGAAGATTAACCAGGGATCTCCAGAGAAATGAAGCCAATAGCACGTGTGTGTGTTTACGCTGTGTGTACATGTGTCTCTCTCTGTGTGTAAGCACTGACTTAATGATTACAGAGCTAAGACTCAAGATACTCAGCCAGCAAGCTAGAAAGCCAGGAGAGTCAACAGCAAAGTTTCACTCTGTCCAAAGCCTGAGAATGAAGGCAGCTGATGGTATTCCTTCTAGCCAGAAAGTTAATGAGCTCAAAACAGAAGTGAAATTTTCAGCCAAGTTGGAATGAAGGAAAAGTGATGCCTGAGCTCACATAGCCAGGCAGGAGACATTTTTCTTATTTAGGAGTAAAGCTTTTTTTTTCTCCTTCAGGTCTCTGGCTGGCTGGATGAGGCCTACCCACTTTAAGGTATGCAATTACTTAATTGATCTAAAAATTAATAATTTCCAGGAACACATTCAGTGATGCAGCCAGAATAATATTTGACCAAATGGTTGGGTACTTCATGGCCTACTCAAGTAGTATTACCAGTTGACAGGCAGTATTAACCATCACTTCACTTTAGGTTATGGAGTTGAACTGTTCTCACCAGAACCAAAACTCTCAGTGAAGCTGAGGAATGATAATAAATTTAGGACCCTTATGTTTCTATGTACATATTACCAGATTCAGTAAATATTCACACTGATGTTTCTTTTTTTAAATTTAATTTGATTTTATTTTACAATATAATTTAGTTCTACATATCAGCCATGGATTCCCTTGTTCTCCCCCCTCCTGCCCCCCTCCCCTTCCCCCCAGCACACCCCCCATTCCCACCTCCTCCAGGGGAAAGCCTCCCCCGAGGACTGAGATCAACCTGGTAGACTCAGTCCAGGCAGGTCCAGTCC